GGGAACGGGAATGGGAACGGGAATGGGAATGGGAACGGGAACGGGAATGGGAATGGGAACGGGAATGGGAACGGGAACGGGAATGGGAATGGGAATGGGAACGGGAACAGGAACGGGAATGGGAATGGGAATGGGAACGGGAATGGGAAGAGGGAATGGGAATGGGAAGAGGGAATGGGAAGAGGGAGGAGGAGGAAGGAGAAGAAGGAAATTACAGCAGCAGGATGAGGATGATGATGAGGATGATGAAGGCCAGGCAGCCATACCTGCTCCAGGTAACTCCTCACACTCCAGCCCTGCAGCCCGGAGCAGGCCGAGCACCAGGTGAGGAGGGAGCAGCAGGGGGAGCAGGATGAGGATGAGGAAGGAGCAGGATGATGAGGATGATGAGGATGATGAAGGCCAGATAACCATACCTGTTCCAGGTAACTGCCCATGCTGCAGCCCCGCAGCCCGGAGCAGCCCCAGGGCCCGCAGCCGGCCGCAGGGGGAGCGGGATGAGGAGGATGAGGAAGCAGCAGGATGATGAGGATGAGGATGATGAGGATGAGGAAGGCCAGGCAGCCATACCTACACCAGGTGCCCCCTCTCCCTGCTCCAGCCCCACTGCCCTGAGCAGGCTGAGCACCAGGTGAGGAACGGGGAGCCGCAGGGGGAGCAGGATGAGGATGATGAAGATGGAGCAGGATGATAAGGATAAGGATGAAGATGATGAGGATGATGAGGATGATGAAGGCCAGGCCGCCATACCTGCTCCAGGTAACTCCTCAGGTTCCAGCCCCGCAGCCCGGAGCAGCCCCAGCGCCCGCAGGGGGAGAAGGAGCAGGATGAGGATGATGAAGATGGAGCAGGATGAGGATGATGAGAATGAGGATGAGGATGATGAGGATGCAGAGGAAGCTGAGGATTAGGAGGTATGATGAGGTATGATGAGAAGAGAGCAGGATGATGAGGAAGCAGCAGGATGAGGAGGATGATGATGAGAGTGATGAGGATGAGGATGATGGAGATGATGAAGGCTACCTGTTCCAGGTGTCCCCTCCTCAGGCTCCAGCCCCGCAGCCCGGAGCAGCCCCAGGGCCCGCAGCCGGCCACAGGGGGAGCGGGATGAGGAAGATGAGGATGGAGCAGGATGAGGATGATGAGGATGAGGATGCAGATGAAGGCAGCCATACCTGTTGCAGGTAACTCCTCAGGAAACTCCAGCCCCAGGGCCCGGAGCAGCCCGCGGGGGTCAGGTGTGGGCGCGGGCAGGAGGAAGAGGAAGGAGCAGGATGCGTGGGGCCGGATGCCGTAGGAGCTCAGGCTGCGCCCGTCCCGGCAGAGCATGATG